ATGTGCAAGCAGCAGACGACAGCCAGGGGGAATTCTGTGTGGCTCTGGGGGACAGCACGCACGGCGCCTGCGCCTCTCCTCAGGGGAGGCCGAGGCTGTGGTTCCTGGCACTGTGCTCCTGGGTGCTGTCTGTGCATGGCCATCTGGCCACTCAGTGCCCGCAGCAAGGCTCGGTGCTGGTGGCCCTGCAAAGGCGGCGGGAGGGCATTGCAAGGGTCGGCCTGGGCTCCTGGTCCCTCACGTGGTGCGTGGTGGCCAGTGTGGGGCTTAATGATGAAGGGGACCCAGGCTGGCCCAGAGCTGGTGTGGGCTGCTTGTCCCCTCTGCTGTTCGTGACCGGGCTGGAGAGAGCATTTCATGGATGGAGGCCGTCACCTCGCTCGGCGCCCCCAGGCCGGGATTCTGCAGGAGGCACAGGGCAGTTCTGAAAAGCGTACTCGGGCAACAGGCTGTGCCCTCAGCACTCCCGGCGTGTCCCGGGCTCACCAGGGAGGCCATGGGGTGGAGGCACACCGCAGTGTCCCCAGCTCATAGGAGGCAGAAAGGAGGTCAGGGCCAGCCCGTTGCTGGTGGGCGGCAGGTGTGTGGTCTTGCACTTTCCCATTGGCACAGAGGGGAAGGGGCGGGCAGTGCCTTCTGTCCTCCCTGCAGGCCTCCAGCATCTGGGCACAGAGGCCAGACTGACTCCTGTGTGCTGGGCGGTGCTGGGCTGCACCGCCTCCTACATGAGAAGTTCCGCACCCCTGGGAGCAAAGCCTCGTGGAACCATGTGTTCCTCGGGGTCCCCGGGGCAGGGGCCAGTGCCTCACTTCCTGCACAGCTCAGGGGGACCTGGACATTGACTTCCCCCTGCACCAGCGCCAGTGTTCACTGAGACGACAGCGGGCTCCAAGCGCCCACGGCCATGCACGGAGTGAAGGCCGCGCTGTCCTCAGCGGCTGGCCGGCTGTGCCTTGGCTCCTGTGCCCAGCCATGTGGAGGTGCGCCTCATCCAGCCCGGGCGGGGGAAGCTCAGAGGCCACTGCAGCTTTGCTCCTCGCTGGAAATGGAACATTCCAGGCATTTTTAATTTTTTAAATGTTTTTTACCCTTACACGTGCTTTAGATCTTTTTTAAATTTTATTTTAAAAACAATTGCAAAATAAGATAATAACGTAACAATGGTTAATACCTTGTACATTGTTATTTTTAGTTACTCAGAATACAAGATAGCGGCACGTAATTGTCCAAACAATATTAGCACAGACCTTTCTTTTCAGTGAGCTCAGAGAAATTAGTATGACTCTCCTAACTGTCTTGTATGCGTATATATATTTTTGTTCTTTCTCATTCCTCCTTTTTTCCATTCCCCTATCCTATTGTTCTTTCCATTTGAATAGTTTCTTCCCATTTCATAGTGTCTGTTGTACACTGTGGATTTTATTTACACTTTCAGCTTCTTACACTAGGAAAACTGCGATGGTTACACATACAGCTCTGATTACACAGCTTGCATTCATTTACCTATTAAAGTCTGCAGTATTCCACAGTCTATCCTTCTTTATGGCTGAGTAGCTCTGCACTCTGTTGTAGAGAAAACCCACATCTTTTTTATCCATTCCTCAGTTGATGGGCATTTGGGTGGTTCCCAAGATTTAGCTACTACAAACTGTGCTGCTGTAAGCGTGGGTGCACATGTGTCGTTGTGGTGTGATGTTTTTAATTCTCGGAAGATACCCAGCAGGGGAGTAGCTGAGTGCAGTGGACCTCTAATCCTAGTTTTTGGAGCTCCACATTGATTTCCAGAGTGGTTGCACCAGTCTTCACACTGTGGAGAAGGTTCCTTTTCCTCCACAGTCCCACCAGCATTTGTTATTGCTTGATTATTTGACAATAGCCATTTCAGGATGAGGTGGAATCTCAGTGTTGTTTTAATTTACATCTCAAATGACCAGTTGGACATTTTTTCACATATTTATTTGCTGTTTGTATTTCTTCATCTGAGAAGTATGTATTCATTTCAGGTGCCTATTTTGGATTAGGTCTTTAAATTTGAGAGGACTGGTTTTTTCAGTTCTTTGTATGTCTGGATAGTAATCCTCTGTCTAAGGAACAGCTGGCATTTTCACCCACATTGTGGGTTGTCTCTTCACTGCTGGTGGTTTCTCTTGCTGTGAAAAAGCTTTTTAATAAGATGAGATGCCAGTTGTTGATTCTTTGTGACAGTTCCTACACAATCCGAGTTTTGTTCATAAAGTCTTTGCCTAACCTGTATCTTGAAGAGGTTCACCTACTGTATCTTCCAGCAGGTTTATTGTTTCTGTTTTAATATTTACACCTTTGATCCATTCTGAATTTAGTCTAGTACATGGTGAGCCAGGCGTTCTAAAAATATAAAGTCCATTATGGCCCAGGAGCGGTGGTGCACACTGTAATCCACACCTGGGCGGCTGAGGGAGGAAGGTCACTGCGAGTTTGAGGCCAGCCTGAACTGCATAGGCTCCGTCTTGAAAACCAAAAACAAGTCCATTATGGTGCAATCTTCAGGGCCTTGTCTTGAGGGACACAAATGTTGTTTTCTCTCATAGTTCATGAAAAGCACATGATGGAAGCAGGGCTACTTCTCTAGCAGTGACAGGAGAGGACAGCAGAGGCTGTGCCCTGGCAACCTGCCCCTCCTCGCCTCTCCCTGTGAGGACGCAGGTTGCTGGAAGGCGGGGTCTGTGTCACTGGACACTATGTATCCATCCGTCTGTTGGTTCATTCATTCATTCAGTGGACTCTTCCTTGACCAGCTGCAGCAGGGAGTCTCCCCACCCAACCTTCAGTGAGGACGGCTCAGAGGCTGCAGCCCAGCCTCCTCCCCATGTAGCAAAGTCCCCCTCATCTGAATCCCCTCCTGTTGCTCTGCACCGGTTTAGAAAACAAAAAGATGGTGACTCGGCAGCTCCTTGGACCTCAGACCTGTCCTCTGAGGTCCTGTAATCTGGTTGCACATCCCATGCTCTGGGAGCTGGCGGGGCTGTGTCACGACGGTGGTGTGGGGTTTGCCCCGCAGTTGGGGCAGGAGATTGGCTCAGGAGCAGAGAGCTGGCTTAGGTACCCTGAGCCTTCCCAGTGGAAGGGGAGATGCTCTGGGGAAAACAGTGTGCCACTGGGTGGACGTCACGGCAGAGGTGTAGTCTGTAAAAGGGCTCTAAGCGGGCGCCTCCCGCAGCTGGGGGGGCTGCCTGGGTGCGTTAGCAGGACCCCAGTTCCTGGCGTGGCCAGCCACTGACTGCTGGGTGCTGTGGAGAAGGGTGCGGGACTTGTCCTGCAGACGTCTCACACCTTGTGCAGAGGTGTCCCCAGACTGCATGTCTTACCTGTTGGAGCACCCATCACGTACCTTACAGCTCATCTATTTTTAAAATTTTTTTCTGGACTTTGGAAAGAACTCCAAGTTCCCTGAGGAGTTGCTGAGTGGCACACGCGCGCGGCTGCTGGTGGGGGGCCGTGTGCAGCTGCTGCTCTTCCACCTGGATCCGGGTAGCACCGAGCATGCACCGAGGCGGATGAGAACTAGGAGGCAGAGGTGGGGAGACACTGTTGTCTGAGTAACGTTTTATAACTTTTGCATTTTGAACTACAACTACCTTTTTAAAAAAATGAATCATCGGCTGGGGACACAGCTCCATGGTGCAGCTCTTGTCTGGTGTGCAAGGGGCCTGGTCTGAGCCCAGGCACTGAGAGGTGTAGATTTTACCAGGCGGGGGCGCTCTGGGGAAGGCAGCTCGCAGACCAGGTGTCCAGCTGGCTGCTCTGGACGAGGATGTATCTGTCACCAGTTTTGTACTCAGGCTTTGGGCGGCTGAAGTACTGCCCATCTGTTGAGGCATCTAAAATGGGCAAGGTCAAAGAAAGGGGTGCATGGGGGCACTTTCTTTGGGGTAGCGCCCTTACTGCTCTTGCCTACGTCTGGGCCCCTGGTACCACTGGACGGGAAATGGAGGTACCCTGGTTTGCTCCCGGGACCAGGCCAGTTCCATTTGCCATGCTCTTCTGAGCTCAGGGATGGAGTCTGCCATCTGCTGAGAGGCAGGCAGATGACGCTGAGCCAGCGGTCACTTCTGTGGCTGAGCTCCTGCGCCCGCCCCGGCTGCTCTGCTGGGTGGTGGATGTGCCTGCTCGCCTGCCAGCTGGAGGCTGGCTGGGGAGTTGTTTTCCTGATTGTCGCCCTGGGCTCCTCACTTACACTTAGAGGAACAGGCATCCAAGTGCTGGTGCAGAAGGCCCTCTTTAGGACCTGCAGTGAGTGAGCTCATTGTCACTGTAGCCCAGAGGCTGGGGAGGAGGAGGTGGCTCCTTGTCACTGCCTGGTCGGGTCCTGCCTTGACCAGGTTTCCTGGGGTGGGGGTTTGGATCTGCGCCAGGTGGTCCATGCAGGGCCAGGCTTGGGGATGTTTGGATCCCTGGGGACTAGCCGTGTGTGCGTGGTCCAGGGGAAGGGCGAGTGTCTGCACCTCTCCGCAGCACAGAACTCCATCTAGGACTACTGTGGGCTCCATGGGGCTAAGCAAGTGCCTCGCCTGGCTGCCAAGGGTGCCTTGTGCAGGTGCTCTGCCGGTCTGCACCTCAGAGCCGGTGGCCACACTGTGTCATTTCCTGCTCATGCTCACGGTCTTCCAGGCACAAATCCAGGCAGCTGGGTGTGGTGTAGACAGAGCTGCCGCCTGTACTCACAGGGCCTTTCAGGTCTGTGCAGTCACGGGCCATGCTAGGTCTGGCCCGCAGTGCACCCTCTGCCCGTGTGCACAGATGCCCGGAAAGGGAGGCAGTCTGTCTGGCACTTCCAGCCACTGGGCCGGACTCTCACTGTCACACTCCCTTGAGAGCCTAGTGCTGGGCATCAGACAGCCAGGATCCCTCACAGGGTGAGCTGGACCTGGGGGTGTCCAAGAGACCATCGGGGCAGCTGCACGGTAGGGGGTGGGCGGGCAATGCAGGCCTGAGCCTGACGCTCCGCTCTGTCTCCATTTCAGATTGAGAAGATCATGAGCTCAATTGGAGAGGGGATCGACTTTTCTCAGGAACAGCAGAGGATCTCAGGTACCTTATGCTGCAGCCAGCTCCCCGGGGAGCCTGGACCACCAAGCCCGAACCTGCCTCCGTCTGAGTCGGAGGGGAAAGTGCATAAGTTAAATGGGAGGTCACCCATGGGGAAGACAGTCGTCATGGGCACTCGTGACCTGCTCTTCTTGTTTCTTGTGTTTTCCTTGTCTTTTTGAGACGGGGTCTCCCTATGCAGTTCAGGCTGGCCTTGAGCTCACTTTGTAGCCCAGGCTGGTCTTGAACTCGCAACGATCCTCCTGCCTCAGCCTCCCCAGTGCTGGGATTACAGGCGTGAGCCACCACGCCCGGCTTGCTCTTCATCTTTGTAAATGCAGGCTTTGTCAGATTTGCTTATCCTGGGGTACACCTCCCTGCTGGTCTCCCTAGCTCCTAGAGAGCCTCAGCCTGTTCACCTATACCAGCATCACCTGGCAAGGGGCCCATGTGCCCTCTCCTCACCCCCCACTCCCCGATGGCACGCTGTGGTCATTCACAGCCAAGCCCTGGGTGAGGTCCATCTCAGCCTGCTTTATAAGTAACGCCTGTCCCAGCCCTGTGAGCCCCGTGGCCTTGATGACAAGGCAGTGTCCTGTCCCTTTCTGGGGAGGGGACGTGCACAGCGTGCCTTGCAGTATTGATGTTATACCCCTGGAGTGTCTCCCTGGACTCCCAGCTTGGGCTGCCCGCGTGCTCTGGTGAGCACCCTTCGTCTGGGACAGCCCTGGCAGCCTCGGGCAGCACCACCAGGTCTATGAGAGCTCCTGCAGCCCAAAGGGAGTTAGTCTAACAGGGGAGTGGTGTGTACATCTGGGAGAAAAGAACTCCTGGGGCTGGAACCTCACGCCCTGGCCTTGGATACGCACCTCGGGGCAAGCTGCCTGAGCTCAGTGAGCGCCAGCTCCTCACCTGCAGCACCCTCCTAGGCCGCTGTAAGATAGAAGAGGCACTCGGTAGACGGCAGCCCATGTGTGTCACAGTTGTCATGTGCTCACTGCGCGAAGCCTAGAGAACAGGGCACCTGCTCCTCAGCCTCGGCTCCTGAAGCAGCGCATCTTCCAGCACCCTGTTCCCCTGGGTGCCAGCAGAAGAGCCAAGCTGCTCTCAGGCTTGCGCGAGTCTTGGGGGACCCACTTCCAGCATCGGTCCACACTTGCTATCAATCAGTCACAGCTCACAGGCTTTCCAAGCGTCGGCTGCTGGCACAGATGTTGGGGAAGAACTGAGTGATGTCACCTTGAGAGCCAGGCACTGGGGACATCCAGGGATGGGACCAGGAGTCATCCGTTCGGTACAACACCTGCTTTACGGTTCCCCTCAGTGTCCGGGGAGCAGGACAGAATACCATGTGTGCCTGAGTGTGGACCCAACAGACACCATCCTCGGATGTGGGCCCTCCGGAGTCCCGGCCCTCAAAGAGCTGCTCAGAGGGAGCTAGTGTTGAACTGTCCTTGCTGTGTGGGCCCGCCCACCTGTTCTTGCCCTCATCAACCCACAGGAGTGGCAAGAGGGGTTCCGTGTGTGTGTGTGTGTGTGTGTGTGTGTGTACCCCAACATGCAGCCCGATTGGGTGCTTATTTTGCTAGCTGCCCTCTGCTCCCCAGCTTAGCATGATTCCCTTGGGCCCATGCAGGTGGCCACCTCACAGGGCTGGCCCAGCAGGTGGCAGAGCTCCGCCCCAGGCGTCTGTACCACCACCAGGCTGAGGAGTGGGGAGCGGCAGCCCAGAAACAACAGGCTGCTGCTGTTTCTCTGGAATGGTCAGGACCCAGGTTCAGCTGGCCTCGGTCTCAGGATGGAGAAGAGGCCAGGTTCTGGCCAGCAGGGCAGGCTCGAACCTTCCCACAGGCAATGATGGTGCTGCTAGCCTGGCCAGCTTTGCGGAGGGTCACTCAGGAAAAGCAGGGCCAGTGCAGTTCAGGTCCCAGGCCTGTGTGAAGGCCCTGACCCAGCAGTCCTCAGCCACTGAGTCTGGAAGGCGAGTTCCACCCACCTGGCCCCCGCGCTGCTTTTCAGCAAAGGCCTGGGCTGTCAGGTGGTGGAGAGCTGTGAGCCCGAGTCTGCCCACGCAAGCCCGCTTTCTCCATGGAGTGGCTGTGAGTGCAGGCTCTGTGGGGCCCAGTCCCCCTGGGCATAGACCCCTTTGTTTGGCAGTGCCACTAGGTCCTCTTGGTATTGAGACTGACATGTTCTGCTGGGACCAGTGTGGCCTGTCTGCTGCACTTGGGGCTGGCCCGGGACCTCCCTTGACCTTGGCTCTGGCCTGCCCTGGGTGTGGTGCTGCCTGGCCCCGCCCCACGGGAGAGCAGTCATGTGTCCACCTGGTGGACTCAAAATAACTTTACAGCTTTGCCTGGTTTTGTGATGAGAAGTGTGGTCTTCCCAGAAGTGGCACATTGGGGCACTTAACCTGTGGGCTGTGCCCTTGGGGCAGTGTCATTCCTCTGTCCCCTCCCGCCAGCCCTAGAAACTATAAAATCAAAACTGCAAGGAAAGACCCCTCTATTGTTCCTAATCGGTGTTGCCAGTGCCTTTAGCCTGGGGCGCAGATGTGTACATCTGTATGTGGACACAGAGCCGGGAAATCTGTCTTCTGGCTGCTCTGGGCTGGGCGCGCCTCCTGTCTGTTCCCTGGTGGTGGCGCAGCGGGCTCTGCTGGCCGCTCCCTGATGCATTCCCTGAGCGGGAGGGGTGCGCGGGGGAAGGGGAGGGCCAGACATCAGGAGTAAGTGAGGACGAGCAGCCCGGGAGCCTCAGACAAAGCCTCCGTCCTCTGCTGGGTTACCGGCAGGGATGAATCAGCAGCTGGGGCCGCCGCACCTCGGTGGGGTCCGCCCCTAGCCGGTTAGCCTAGAGCCCCGGAGCCTTCGGAGCCCCGCAGCTGCATCCACGGGCCCCCTGACCATCAGCTGCTCTGCAGAGACAGAGGACAGGGTGGAGGCTGTCACAGTTGGTCACCAGGGTCTCAGAAAACGGAGCAAGTTGCCATTGTCCTGCCTGAAGGGCAGAGAGCCTGAGCCGACAGGATGACTCTCACCGCGTCGGGAGTGCGAGGGAAGTGACATGACGTTGTATAGTTGCTTCTTCGGTTTCCTTCCTTGCACCTCGTTCTTCCTCTTCTCTTTTTACCCTTCTCACCTGTGAGAATCGGGGAGCACTTCACCCCTGCGGAGAGGATCGGAGCCCAGAGGACAGCTGTGTCGCTGTGTGTTCATTGCTCAGCTGGAGAGCGCAGCCCCACAGAGGACAGAACCTCCCCTCCCCTCCGAGCCCGAGGGCTCTGTGCTCTTCTGCTGGGAACGGAATCCGCCTGCCCCGGCGGCGGGCGAGGCCCGGGAGTGGCTCCTCTCCCCGAGAGGCTTCAGAGGCCAGCCCGGCCCAGAGAGGGCTCTCCAGCCAGAGCCCGGCCCCAGAGACACCCGCTCACCGGTCCCCCGAGTCTGCACGGATGGGCCCTGGGCCGGCCGGCTGCCCTAGCCTGGCGGAAGGCGATGCTGCTGCCCCAGCGGAGGGAACCACACCTGAGCCTATGCCCCATGCCCCAGCCCTGGCGCCATCCTGTGCGCCCCCTCGGCCCCTCGCTGCCGCCGTGTGCCCCTGAGCACCAAGGCCCGCGCCATGGTTTGCTTATTCCGGGACTGCTGGGGGAAAACAAGTAAAAGTCTCCTCTGCCCCCGCCGTGTCCCTGCTGCTTGCATTGCATGCGCTGGGTCCCCGTGAATGGCCGCCGCCGCTTCCCTGCCGGAGCCCACGCTGTGTGCCTGTGTCCCTCGGCTGCATGAAGACGCGCGCTCGCCCCCGAGCCATGTGTGCTGCAAGGTCACAAGACGTGCCCCTCATCAGTGCCCCGTGGGGCTCCGAGGTGCATGGATGAGAGGAGCAGCCGGGCTCCTGGGCACTCGGGAGTTCCCCGGCCCCCCAGCACTCGTGGGGACTGACTTTGTTATGGCGCTGAGGAGCAGCTGGCCTGGAGACTGGGGACCCAGGGTGAGGCCCCGCCATGCTTATGAGGTGCAGCTGTAGCCTCCCAGGAGCAGCGGTGCGGTGCCCCGGCAGGGAGGCCGTGCGCGGAGAGGCGCTGAGTGCGCGTTGCTCTCTGCTCTCTCGCTCTTAGTTTGGCTGCTCCATGGTAATGACGATGATGTGGCAGTGCCATCTGTCTTCCTCTGAGTGCCGCTGCTACCGCCTTAATGGTTTCTCCCTGTTCAAGCGTCTGCCGATTCCTCTCTCGTCAGGTTCTCGGACGCTGGAGCAGAGCGTCGGGGAGTGGCTGGAGTCCCTCGGGCTGCAGCAGTATGAGAGCAAGCTGCTTCTCAATGGCTTTGACGATGTCCGCTTCCTGGTAAGTGCCAGGGCCACTCCCGCCCCACCCCGTCCGGCCCTGCTGGAGCTGACGGGATACATAGACCTGTCACCCAGGGAAGAGGTGATGGGATCTGGGAAGGCTGCAAGTGTCACACACCGTCGCCTCCCTCCCTGCCCCCCAGACCTTGGGCCACGTGCCATCCGGGCCAGCCTGTGCTAAGCATCCCAGGGGCTGCGGGCAGCACAGCCAGTCCCCTCTGGGGACTGCACGTACCATCTCAGGGAAGCCAGGAGTTTACTTCCCCAAGCTTCACTGGCAGGCAGGCGGTCAGTGAGGCAAGCCTCCCTAGCTGTCGAGCTGAGGCTGGTTGCCCAGGGCCAGGGCAGCAAGCCTGCCTGCCTACAGAGCAGAACACAAGTCAGAAAGAAAACTGAAGAAAAACCCAGGCAGCTTGTACCCGGCTCCCTGTGGAACAGGAACCCAGTGCAGGCCATGGGCAGGGGATCCAGTGGTACCTGGAAGCGGCCTCTCCTGGATGCCCTGCCCGGGGTGCCTGCATGGGCCAGGCCATGGCACCGCCACGGAGGCGGCTCCCAGGCCAGCTCTCGGGTCCCAGCAATAGGCCGCTGGCGGCAGAGGGATGATGTGACAGCTCTGTGGCTATCAGTGCCCCTTTGGGTGGTGCTGTTCTCAGCGCTGTTCATGGAGTCACTTGGTGACACCTGCAGCCCTGGGGTTGTGTGCACACCTCCAGTGCTGTCTGCCCATGAGGGCAGGGAGGCGCAGTGTGGTCTGGCCTCCCCGGCCCAGGGTTCTCCCTGAACATGGTTCTCTGTGGGCTTGGCCCGGCCGGCTTCTCTGTGGCCCATCACCCACTGTCCCTCGCTGTCCCTGTGCCCAGAGCACAGGCCCCTCTCAGCACCAGCGCCTCCACCCAGCCACTTCGCTGAGACAGTGGTCAGCGTCAGTCCGCAGCGCTCCTGCAGATGGACAGGTCCGTGCTGCCATGGAACATCCCTGTGACTGACGAGTGACCGCACACTCGCCTTGTGCTAGGTCCCTCTCTGAAGAACTCGGCTGCCACATCTCCTGTGCCGAGGAGTCAGTCGCTGTGTTGCCAAGCAGTAGCCCCTTCGCTGGTTCATGGCTTGCACTGCACTGGCTGATGTTTAGTTGTTGAGACAGGGTCTCACGACGTTGACCAGGCTGGTCTCAAACTCCTAGACTCAAACGATCCTCAGCCTCCTGAGTGGCTAGCTGAGTCGGCGGATACGCCATGGTGCTTGGCTGTGCTAGCTGATCCAGGGTGTCCATTAAGTTGGAACTGGTTTCCTTATGGCTTCTGTCACTTTGTCTTAGGTTTGCCTTTGGGGTCACAGACGGTTTAGGTGCTGTGGAAACTTGGAGGCTTCTGTCATGGGCTCCTGGGCCTGACCTTCACCCACACCACTCTCCTGCCTGAAGGCCAAGGCAACCGGCAGGGCCCTCAGGGTCTGTGTGCAAGGGCCCATGCTTGGAGCGGCTGCCTCAGTGGCAGCCAGGCCCCTGCCCATTACAGGTCCATCTGCAGGGAGTGGGCTTCCTTGGGAGCACAGAGGGAGGCAGTCGTCCAGCTGCCGGGCCTTCCTTCGCGAGGTCTGGCCCCTCCACCGAGGTGTAGAGTGTGCTTTTGCGGTGGCCCTGAGGCTAGGTGTGGACCTGGGGACACGGTGCCAGCAGGGACACTGGAGTGGAGAAATGTTCACCTTGTGTGTTGGGTGAGCCGAAAGTTTCTGCAGTGTGACCTCAACTTCATACAAACGAGGCAGCCCCACAGGAGAGGTGCGGGAGGAGTGGGCGGCCCACTCGGACTGGGTGTGAAACCAGAGGAGCAAGTGAGGAGCTGCCCTGGGCTGCAGTTAGGGTCCGGCTGGAAAAACAAAGCTCATAGCGACAATGCAGCAGCCGGGGTCGGCCACAGGAGATGCGCAGGGCAGCGGGGACGAGAGGTGGCCTGACCTGATCCGAGGTGCCTGAACTCTGGCACCTGGGGGTGCGGTGTGTGCCAGGACCCTAGGCTGGCGGGACCTGAAAGCACCCGCCTCTCCTCCCCCTGCCGCCTGGGGAGCGCTGACCAAGCCAGGATTCAGGAGCAGCCGTGAAACTTCCCAGCCAGGTCCTCAGCCCTGTGTTCCGTCCCAGCCTCCAGTTAGCTCCCTCCTCACTACCCTCCTGGCTTCAGCCCGTGTCAGGCCTGGCAGAGGTGCCATTCAGCACCGTCCACTCCTCTGGCCATGGCCACCACCACCAGCTCTGCAGAGCTGTGGGAGCCAGGGCTGTGCTGGGCTTTTCCTTGGGGCCCTGCAGAGGGCAGGGAGGGCCATCTGCTGGCCACGGCGTGGGGTGGGGCTGTCTCCTGAGTTGACTTCTGTGGTCTGAGGGCCCACAGATCGTGGGCTTTCCTGTGGGCGCGGGAGCCAAACAGGGACAGTGATGCAGCCCCCCTTCTGCCTGAGTTCGGATGAGGAGCAGCAGCTCTCTGGTGCCAGTGTGTGTGGCTGTGGACCTTACTGGCTCCAGGCACCGGGTGGGCACTGGAGGACACTCGGGAACGCTTGCTTCTCCTGCGCCAGCTCCTTGCTGTCCCATGGCCCGTTGGCACAAGCAGTGTTCAGACTGTCCACAGCCCCCTGCCCCAGCCCTCCTCACCGTACATATGCACAAGTGGTCTCAGGGCATGTTTCAGAGCCGCAGACCTGACCATCAGAGTGGCTGTGACCCGGAGCTTGAGGACCTGGACCTCTCTGAAGCTACCTATGGACTCCTACAGGCCATGGGCATCTGATGCTCAGCTCTGGGCAGGAGCAGGGCCAGGCCTTGGAGCAGGGTGCTGTGGGCCCAGGATGGTGCTGGCCTCTGGTCCCTGTACCTCCTTCCCAGGAAGCCGCTGCCGCTGGGGCCACTCTGCAGATGCCAAGGGCAATAGGCCAGGAACCCCTCGTGTGTTCTGCACCGCTGCAGGCCAGGGCCACAGTCTTGCCAGGGTGCGCCATGAGTCTTGTGTGACCTGTGACCTGCTTCCTCCAGGGGACACGCAGGGCATCAGAGCGCAAAGCCAGCTGTGTCTGCCCAGGCTAGAGGCGGCCTTGCTCTTGCAGCTTGCAGAGCAGCTTGCAGGCGGCAGAGCTGCCGCATGTGCACCTAGGCCCGGCAGCCCTCACTCTAGAGAGGCCCACATGGCCCAGTGTGCCTGCGCCACGCACTGCACTGTGGGCAGACGCGACACCTCGACCTCAGCTGAGTGTGTAACGGAGGCTCCAGGCCGGGGCAGCAGTGCAGGAGGACACCACATCTGGCCACACAGGGCCCTGTGGGTGTTGCCTGTGCCATTGCGTCCACCTGGGAGAGTCCTTCCCACAGGGTAACAGCTCCTGGGAGTCACACAGAGGTGTCCAGGGCTAGGGCTGGTGATGTGTGTGCTCCGAGATTGTGGCTGTCACTGTGGAGTTTTGTACCGTTTTGAGGAAGGACAGGACAGGCTGTGCGGGCCTCGGTAGCCGTCCCCGCAGCGAGGCAGCTTCAGTGTTGGTGGCAGCATTGTCCTTGCCTTGTGCCCCGGTGCTTTCAGCCTGACCCTCGCCTCTGCCCAGGAAACCCACGCCCGTCGCCCCACCGTGGCTCCTAAGTCCCAGGCTCACTGCTGCACACCGTTCGTCCCTGTGCTGTCCGGGAGGGGACAAAGCATACACCTGCAGCATACACATCCCTGTGTCTCTGTCAGTGCAGTCGGGCCTCTCAGTGCGCCTTGGGTCCCACGGGCGTGGAACAAGACATTTGGAAATAAAAACTCACGGTGCAACAGTAAACTAAGCACAGATACAGTGGCACTGCAGACACAGGGAGGGTGACGGTCCCTAGAGACGATGAAAGCACAGGCGTGCAACGCAGCCTCTCAGAGCCTCACACGCACCGTGTTTGCCTCCAGTGATACAGAACCCAACCCGCAGGGGCTGCCCAGGGACGCCTGTCTGGTCAGCAGCTGTGTGTCAGCGTCACTGCCCCAGGTGCCCTTGCGTGGGAACACAGCCCTGTCTGGTCCGACCCATGTGTGCCGAGGCCAGAATGTCCTGTCCCCCAGAGAACCCCCTCACCAGTGCAGATGCGCTCGGGTATAGGTAGGCTGTCTAGTGGCAGGACCCAAGGCTCGCTGGCTGTGCCTCCTGCCCTCTCCTGCTGCTGGGTGGGGGGCTGTGACCGTCATGGCAGCCCTGCGTGACTGCCAGGAGTTCTCTGGAGGATCAGATTGGCTTCCTGCACCACCCAGTGGAGATGGACAGGGACTGACAAGGGACAGTCTGAGCCCTTGGCTGCACTGTCCCGGAGCCCATGGCACCAGACACTTGGGGGCGCAGTGTCTCAGGCTGTGGGTCCCCATGCTGGGCCTTAGTTCATGCTGCCCGGAGCCAGCCATGGGGACTGCATGGCTCAGCCTTTCCTCCTCCCCTTCGGGTGGCAGCAGTGTCCCCTCCGACTGAGGCTCCCTGGTTGGTGTGGGAGGCAGAGTCATGGTGGTCTGGTCTCTGCCCTCCCCGTGATGTGCACAGGACCCCCAGGCAGACCGGTCCCAGGAGGGAAGTCCAGCCCGGCCTGGACAGTCCCCGGACCGCTGAGACAGCCACAGACGGCCCTTGCCCTTCAGCCGGACAGGGTCCCCACCACGTCCCCCTGCTGCTGAATGCACCTGCCTAGCCATCGCCTGTTATTAGGCGAGGCTGCCCCCACATTCGGTAGCGTGCTGGGCCGTAAAACCCCCTCGAGATGCAGAGGCCGCTTCCTTCCGAGGCTGTGCAGCAGGGGCCCTGGGGGCGCCCTCCATAGCTGTGGCCAGCACTGGGCTGGTACCAGAGTGTGGGACAAGTCCTGGTGGGAAGTACACACACGAGCTGGCCCGATGGAAGTAACGACAGCCACCAGACTGCGGCACAGCCACAGCGCACGTGCACACTGCCCTCGACATCCCCGCTAGCACCTCTGAGATGGGCTCTGAGAAACCAGGTCCTGGATGGGAAGAAATCGTGGCCTTGGCCCAGCCCGGAGCAGTGCAACTTGGGGCTGCGCGTCCCAATGCACCTGGTGGAAAGTGCCCAGCAATTACCATGGAGCGCTGGCTGCTGGAATGCTGTGCCCCAGCTGGGCCAGCCCAGCCTTGCTGCCTGCCTTGGGCTGACCAGGTGGGGAGTCCAGCACCGCGCTGGCCCGCACCTTTGCTTGAGCTCAGGGTGGGTCCATGTCACCTCACAAAGCTCAGTCACCTCTGACCGCCTGAGCCCTGCAAGCTCCAGATCTCAGCCCCAGACAAGGAAGCAGGGCTGAGGGCTGCCTGCAGGTAAGCACATGGGCTGCCCGACGGGGCGTATGACCCTTTCCTGGTCCGTGCAGCAGGATGCACCCTGGTCGGAGTCTTGCTGATGGGGGAGCTGTCGTCTCTTGGAGGATGTGTGCATGAGCTGATCCCATGCATGGTGACACAGTCACTCTGGGGCCCGAGGACCCTGCACTGCACCCAGGACGTGTGCTGATGGCAGCTGCTGTGTTTCCCACCATGGGACCTACACGGTCTTCCTGCGTGTCACCTCTCCTCAGCGCTACAGGTGGCCTCAGCTCTGCGACAGGGCCAGGTGACCAGGGCATCTCTTGTTGGAGTAAACTGGACTGGTCAGCATCACGTGGCCTTAAAAGCTGGAGACGTGACTACGTGCTGCCCTTGGACACTCACTTCCTCCCCCTGGAGCTTCCTGGCCCAGGTCAGGTCAGGTCAGACCCCCGCTCAGGTGTCCCTGTCATCAGATGGGCAGTGTGGGCAGCCGGCTGCCATTCTGCTTTTCCCCATCCGAAGATCCTACTTGGATTCCAAAGTGACCTCAGTCACTGGTGACACCTGGAGGTGTGGTGGCCCCGGGAGCTGGCCACAGGCTGTGGGGTGCCTTAGCCACAGCTCCATGCAGCAGGCTCCCCTGAGAGATGGCACTTACCCTCCCAGGTCGCGGAGGCTCCGTGGGAGCTGTCACCATAACTTGGCTACTGTGGGGCCACTGTGGAGCGGTCCACGTGTCACTGTTCACATAGCGGGGCAGGTGACGCCCTCCTCAGGAGACCGGGCAGTCAGGCAGGAGCCTCGGCCTCAAAGGTGGCTCTGGAGTGGAGAGGGAAGGGTGAGCTGAGGAAGTGGCCAACGCAGTCCCTGGAAAGAAGGCTGGGTCCTGCCTCAAACCTTCCCTCCAAGTGTGTCCCTCAAGGGAAGGCCGGCCAGTCACAGGCAGAGGGCGCTCTTCTGACCCCGAGGAAGCCAAGACCTATACAAGAGCAGTCACATGCAACGGTCAGGGGTAAAAAATAATTCCTACCCCTGCAAAACCAACATAAAAGTTAAAAACTAAACGACCAACTGGGGAAGCAGCCGTGCAAGGATGCCCACGGGTCTGCAGAGGCGGCTCCCAGCACTCCAGGCGCGGGTCCTCTGCCACGCAGCGGGGAGAAGAGCAGCGAGGTGCAAGGCTCCAGCCCCGCCTCCAGGGGAAGCTGCCTGACGGCACCTGTCAGCGCAGCCAATGGCATGGAGGACGATGCAGCAGTGACACCCCAAGGAGACAGGGACATCTGCAGAACTTTAAGGCACCCATGTGGCCACTGCCTTCCTGTCCACAGCCTGGAAGCGATACCCACAGTGGCCCAGGGAGCAGGATCACCACCCCTTGCTAACCCGGTGCTTCTGCAGCCCAGAGGGAGGAAGGAAACCCTGTGCGTGACGTCTAAGAGGTGATGGCGGGATGCCAGTCCGTCTGGGGAAAGACGGCTGTGCGGCCCCGAGGATGTAGTCTGAAGCACCTGGTGCTGCGGAGAGGAGCCCGCCTCACAGCTGCCTGTTGTCTTAAACGGTCAAGAGACTGGAACAAGCAGGGTCATGTGAAGTGGGTGACCCACATGCTAGGGGTTGGTCCCTGTCCCTCAGGAGATGGGCACACGATGCAGCCATCAGCCGCCATCGCTGCCACCGTGCTGAGCCCTAAGCACCTTTGCTCCACTGCTGCTGCCTGGAGTCACAAGGCAGCACCAGGGGGGACACAGTGGAGTCCCCTGGCCCCCAGGAGAGTGCACCTCACATGCAGCCAGTCAGGCTGGAGGCTCCGCCCAGGCTGCACTCCTGGGACCTCACTGAGGAGGAGCGCAGTGATAGGCCGTGGGGGCCCTGACAGCCTGTCTCTGTTCTCAGGGGCCTAACGTGATGGAAGAGCAGGACCTGCGGGAGATCGGCATCAGTGACCCCCAGCACCGGTGGAAGCTGCTCCAGGCTGCACGCTCCCTCCCCAAGGTGACCATCACCATCTCCCAGGCAGTGTGCGGGCCTGGTGCCCACCCTCCTCCCAGGGCCCAGCAGTCTTCCTCAGGGACCTAGGGACAGTGGCGGCAGAGGGCGCAATTGCCCCGGGCCTCTAGCTCTGCTCCTCAGCCATGCTGGTGTTGAGTGCAGCGTGCATGCTCAGGGAGGGTCCGCTTCAGAGGTCCCTGCAGGCCCCTGGCCCCCTTGGCACCTGCCCCAGTCTCACTTGAGTCCCGGATGTCGTTCCCGCCCTGTGCCCTGCAGGTGAAGGCCCTGGGCTACGATGGGCACAGTCCCTCGTCAGTGCCATCCTGGCTGGACTCCCTGGGGCTGCAGGACTATGTCCACTCCTTCCTGTCCAGCGGCTACAGCTCCATTGACACTGTGAAGAACCTCTGGGAGCTGGAGCTGGTCAATGTGAGTGTGGCCCGGCCCCTCCTGCGCTGGCCCCATCACCACTGACCTCCGCCCCGCTGACCTCCACCCTGCCCTGCAGGTCCTGAAGGTCCACCTGCTGGGCCACCGCAAGCGCATCATTGCCTCCCTGGCAGACAGGCCCTACGAGGAGCCGCCACAGAAGCCACCACGGTTCTCCCAGCTGCGAGTGAGTGAGTGGGTGGGGTGCTCAGAGCTGGGCTGGGGGGGGGGAAGCAGTGCCCGCCCGCGGCCCCGTTCACATTCTAGGCCTGCAGCAAAGGACCCGATTTAAAGAAAGCCGAATGAACATAAATAGATCCCAGCCATGGGGAGTGGGGGGTTGAGCCCAGCGCTACACTGGCAGGGTGGGAGCCGGAGGAACCAGGCAAGACTGGGGTTCCTGTCCAGCAGACACCAGCTTCTTGTGCCTACTCCAAGTCTTCGGATTTAGAATTCCCAGGGTGCTTTGCTAAGAGGGCTCTTGCCATGCAGGCTCTGAATTCCTGGGTGCTCAAGTGATCCTTCTGCCTCAGCCTCCCAAGTAGCTGGAAATACAGGTGTCACCACTACACCTGGTAGAGAGCCTGCCTTTTTTAAAATCATAGATAATTCGTGCCCAAGCCAGCTAATCTTGGACTCCAAGTGTATCTAGACTCAGCCCACAGGTCAAGATGTACCTGTCCAGCTGCAGGGTGGGGCATACCATGAGGGTGGGGGACACTGGCCCTATCCTGGTGCCAGCTCCTGGCTGTGCACTGCATCCTGCTCAGTCCTAAAGCCTTGTACACGAGGAGCCAAGGCCCAGCCTTGGTCTGGGGGGCAGACATAGCCCCCCGGCCTCTGTACTGCTGCAGAGGCGACTGCCTAGTGAAGAGCTTTGCACTTGGCCACAATTTGAGCCCTTGCTGCAGGGGGACGAGGGCTTCCCCCACGGCTACTTGAGAGTGGAGCCCACCTCAGGGCCGCTGCTGGCAGACAGCCAGGCTGCATGGAGCCCGGGCAGGGCCCAGCTGCCCACTTCCCCAGGCACTGCCCTTCGTCCTCATTGTCCAGCGTCTCCTCACCGTCTCCCTGCAGTGCCAAGACCTGCTCTCCCAAACATCATCCCCCCTGAGCCAGAGCGACTCCTGCACAGGGCGCTCCGCAGACCTGCTGCTGCCTTCGGGGGACACAAGCAGGCGGCGGCTCGACGGCCTTCAGGATGCCATGGCCCCATCTCGAGCCGAGCGCTTCCGAGTCCAGGTGGGCGGGATGGGTGCGGGCCAGCCAGGCTCCGGAGCCATCTACTGCCCTGTGCCCCACCGCTGGGCAGGCTGGGAACACGCGGTCTTCTGGGCCCCCTGCTTGAGTCCCCTTGCAGCCAGGCCACAGTCACTGCTGCTGCCGCTGCCTCCTGGTGGTCTTGCAGTGGCCAGGCAGATGCTGGTCACTGCACAGAGCTTTGCTCCCCTGCGCCTTCAGCCCCAGCCTGGGTTGGTACCACCAGGCATCCTGACCTTACCCTCTCGGGGTCCCTTTGGGGCTCCTGGCTCCACTCAGGACCTGCCCGACTCCTCTAGCTCAGCCTGCTCCCCCAGCCTGCCCTGTGCCAGGCTGGCAGGCACATCTGCCCCTCAGTGAGGGCAGCTTCCCCTTTGCTGGTGTCAGGTCGCCCCGCCTCCCCACCGCACAGCTTCCAGGTGGCGGCAGTGGCTTTCCCCAGCATTGTCCCAGAACCCCACATGCTAGGCCACTCCCTGCCACGGAGCAAGCAGCAGCCCCAGGCCCTGCACGCCAAGCTGGGCCAGCCTGTCAGTGCTGTGCCGCCCGCCTCAAAGCTGTGGTCCCCCCGGTGCCATATGTGAGACCCTCAGTGCAGCGTACAGCAGTTCAGCTGCCGTGTGGAGATGACACAGGTCCAGACACAGTGTCCTCAGTGTTGCTGCACGCCTCCCCTCACCCCCCATCCCGTGTGCCTTCAGCCCCAGCCTGGGTTGGCACCACCGGGCATCCTGACCTTACCCTCTTGGGGTCACTTTGGGGCTCCCAGCTCCACTCAGGACCTGCCCGACTCCAAAGGACGGTGAAAATGCTTCCTCGCTGCGGCTCTTCTCTGCCTGGACAGGGATGTCATGGGGGGACCTGGCATCCTGTTCCCAGCACTGCACAGTACCACAGCTCTTGGTGCCCTGCTCTAGTGGCCTGGGTGCCTGCCACTGTTTTTTTGCTGTGGTGTCACAGTGCATGCACAGGCCAAAGTGCCTGATGTCTGACCTCTCCGAGCTTTTGTGTCTACACCCTGGGCTTTGCTGGAGTTCCCCAGCACGCCTGACTCCTGTGATGTCTGCAGGAAGAGCCCCGCGAGGCCAAGCTGACCCTGCGGCCACCCAGCCTGGCCGCCCCCTACGCCCCTGTGCAGAGCTGGCAGCACCAGCCAGAGAAGCTCATCTTCGAGTCCTGTGGATACGAGGCCAACGTGAGTCGCTCCGCCCCTCCGCCTCCTTGTCCCCGGGAACCTCTGCTGTGCTGCGCTCTTCAGCTGCCCTGGTGCCCAGGGGAGGGTGGCAGGGTCACCCCATGTGGTAGTGCAGGCTCTCTAAGCCTGGCCACTGCTCGCCCCACAGTACCTGGGCTCCATGCTCATCAAAGACCTGCGAGGGACAGAATCCACGCAGGACGCCTGCGCCAAGATGCGGGTAGGCGGTGGGGAGCCTGGGGGGGGGGGGGGCAGGCGCTGGAGCAGGCAGAGGCACGAGGGGGCACCAGGTCTGGTCACCAGGCCTCACCCCACTACAGGAAGATGGGGGCCTGGCCTTAGGGTTCCTGGCAGAAAGGGCATCCTCAGAGCGCCGTTTCCTGCAGAAATCCACGGAGCACATGAAGAAGATCCCCACCATCATCCTGTCCATCACGTACAAAGGTGTCAAATTCATCGACGCTTCCAACAAGGTGTGTGTCTCGCCAGGACGTCCCTCTCCCTGGGACCTGCCCCGTTCCCACTGCTGTGGGGCCGCTGTTCTTGTCCTCAGCACAAGCCCTGCGCTTGGCTTCCCACAGCACTTGGTGTGGTTCCCTCAGTGGGCAGGGCCCTGTTCCTGCTGCCCACGCACCCAGGCTCAAGGGCAGAGGCTGACGGGGCTTCTGGTGGCCGTGCGGGCAGTATGGCCTGAGCCAGCATGGTCAAGGCAGACCCCAGACCTAACCAGGCACCCTGGAGCCAGCCCTGCACCCACACGGACAGAGGCTGATGCCCCAGCCTAAGGCAGACAGGTGGCCCTTGTGCCAGGTCGCCCCAAGATGTCCATAGCACCCTGTCCCCGGCAGAATGTCATCGCCGAGCATGAGATCCGGAACATCTCCTGTGCAGCCCAGGACCCCGAGGACCTGTGTACCTTCGCCTACATCACCAAGGACCTGCAGACCAGCCACCACTACTGCCACGTGTTCAGCACGGTGGACGTGGTGAGTGTGGCTGGGGCCCTGTGCAGAAGGTTGGCTTGGGCAAGACGCCCAGCTCTGGCCCATTAGTGCCTTCCAGGGGTGCAGACCCCGGCATGGGCTCCGGAGCTTAGCCTATGGCTTCTGCCCAATGCTCTGCGGGAGCACCCACAGCACAGGACACTGCTCAGGCGCCTGGCTGCTGCTGGCTCCTCACCCTGGAGCGAGTCAAGTCTTGTCTAGGGCGCTGTGGCCCTGAGGCTCTGTGCCCAGCCCTTCACTAGGCCAAGGCCAGTGGGGCCTTGGATCCGCAGCTCTGCCCTGAACCGCACGTGGCCTCCAGGGTTGCTCTGAGACGCTGTGGTGTGGCCTATGGTGACCCCTATGTAGCCTGCAGGTGCCACACAGCCAGCGCTGCCTAAATGGGCCCTGCTCTGCAGGACCACATTGAAGCCGTGGGGTCAGTGGGCAGGTGGTGTTGGATGGCACCACATTCACCTTTGCCCACGCATTGGAGGCAAAAATCAAACTTCATAGAAACTTTAGCGCCAGTTTACTCACAGGGAGCTGAGCACCCCGAGGAACAGCACTTGGCCCAGAGGAGGTTTCCATGCTGTCCCCACAGAGACAGCAGGGTGTCCCCATCCCGCCACCCCAGTTTTGCGCTGGTCCGGGTTTCTGTCGACAGAATCCTGGGTCAGAATCGTGCACTGTGCTCTGCTGGCTGTCGCTGATGCCAGCTGGGGGGAGGACGAATCTGTGCTTCCGGGACGCTCAGCCCCGAGTGCTCACGTGGCTGGTGATCTCTTCCCCAGAACCTGACATACGAGATCATCCTGACGCTGGGCCAGGCCTTCGAGGTGGCCTACCAGCTGGCCTTGCAGGCCCAGAAGGCGCGGCCGGTGGGGGCCACTGTGGCCGAGATGATGGAGACCAAGGCTGCCAAGCCTGTGCCTAAGCCTCGGGTCGCCGTGAGGAAGTCCGCAGTACGTGCCACGGGCCAGGGGCGAGGCTGGGCACACGCGGGTCCCAGGCCTGGGGAAATGGCCCTCTTGGGTTAGCAGGGCTGCACTGGCAGGTCCTCCCTGCCCCACCCAGCACAGGGCGCCTAGGGCTGCCAACGGCAGCCACACCGTGCCCTGGTGACCTCGTGTCTGTGTCTATGTCTGCTTTGCTCTGCACCCCAGGTGCCGCTGCCCCCCGATAGTCGCTGTTGTTACTGTCACACCTGCACCACCCACCGTCCTTCCTACCTACCGCTGCCGTCTGTTAGTCCCGGAGTCAAGGTCTTTACGCCTCCTGCTGTCTTGTGTGTCAGTCTCCCCGAAGCCACCGTGAGCTGCGCCTCCACCCTCCACCCGCGTGACGTTCTGTTCTTCCCCGCGCTGCCCACCCTGTGTGCTTCAGCCCTGTGTGTCTGTCCTGTGTCCCTCTCAGTGGCCTTAGGGTTAGGGGAGTGCTCTGCCCCAGGAGACCCAAGACCCCCACCGCCTGTCCGGGCTCGGGGCTTAGAGCAGGAGGCTCCCACGGGGCAAGGTCCCCTTTCTGGAGGCAGCCCTCCTATCAGTCACCTGTCCCCTCGTTTGGCAGCTGGAGCCGCCCGACACGGACCAGGAGGTGCAGTCCCACGCCAGTGTCTCCTGGATTGTGGACCCGAAGCCAGACTCCAAGCGGAGCCTCAACACCAAGTACGAGACCACTATCTTCTAACGGGCCGCCCCGCTCCCAGCCTCACTGTGCCTTTGCCACTGGGCTCTGCTGTCTCAGCTCCGCCGGCAGCGGCTGCCGCCACCACATTCACAGCTCTTTACCTACACCTCCGAACACTGTGACTCTCCCGGGCTGAGGACGGCGGGGGGCGAGTGGCCTTTAAGGTGGGCACCACGGGGAGCCTCTGGCCCGGCAAAGCGAATCCCGAGGGTGGGAACACTCGCCCGCCTCTGTCCTGAGCCACAGCCGGGGCCGTGCGCTGACTGTCCCCCCTCTCCTGACACCACCAACCACTGTGACCACTGGGGAGTCCCCTGCACTACTGCAGCTGGCTGCCCCCAGATGCCGGCCTCTCATGCTGAGGCCCTGCTCAGTGACACGGCCCAGCCGGGCAGACCACTTTGAGGGCCAAAGGTCTGGGCCAGGCCCATGGCAAGTGTTGGCCACTTAGCAGGTTCCCGGGTCCTAGTGGAAGCCCATGCCATGGAGCAGGGACACGAGTATGGCTGCACCCCAAGGCTCCACAGGGCCAGCTGGCGAGTGGCCTGTGCCCTACACAAGCACCTTCTGCCACCTGTCACCTGAGGCCCGAGAGAGGCTTCACCTGCACCCCTGCTTCACCTCCCCGGTCTCCAGGAGAGGCTTGGCCTCCCAGGCGGTGTAGCGCTGCTGCAGGGCTGACACCTGGAGCCACAGGGTGTTAGTGACCGAGGACAGCAAGGCCCAGGCAGGTGGTGGTGCAGGGGGGAGCCGGAGAAGTGGTAACAGCAGCAGCCAGGGTGACAGCAGGCGGGTCCTCGGCACCCGCCTGTCCTGTGCCTCCAAGCAGGTGGCCAGGCTGCAGCGGGCACTCCGGGAGGCTGAGGGACCCTCTGTCCTGCTCCTGTGCTCCTTCGGGTTTCCTCTGCCTGGTGCTGGCCCCGTCGTTAACCCTGTCCTCCTCCATGTTTGCTTCTGCCAAGCTGAGCCACGAGGAACCACACGGCTGCGGAAACAAGAGGCAGGCGCAGGCTCGGCACCGTCCCCAGGCCTGCAGCACTGAAGACCGGGCCTGCCTGCCCGCGGGAGCTGCTCCGGGCACAGCCCAGGCCCTGGCGGAGGAGACTTGGGACCCCAGAAGGCCGAGACGGGACCTGTCCAGCATACATGTTTTTAGTAGAAAAGTTTTTATAAAATGAACTTTTAACACTTGGTTCAAACCGCTAGGTAAACTGCCAACCTTTAGACGACCACGGGGCAGAGGACGGGCACTGAGGTCGATCACCAGGGAGGCCGCAGCCCCATCCTCAGCGTAGGGTCCTCAGTGTGGTCCCCGCGTGGGAAGGAGCAGAGAGGAGCAGGTGTCTCCGGGGCACCTGACCAGAGCAGAGCCCGTGTCCGGGCTCCCCTGTGCAGACCTCTGCAGAGAACAGCAGGGGTTCTGGGGCCACAGCGGGCTGGAGTCATGCTCTGCAGGCACCCTGGAGCGGGCTGCTGAGCCGCTCTGCTCTGCTCTGCAGCGAGGCCCTCGGGTGGCCGAGTCCGGGGAGAGGCCACCGTGTCCGGGGCGGGAAGGGGAAGCGCGGAATGGCGGAGTTCCGCTCACCACCCTGTGACTTGTCCAGTGAGGTCTGTGTGACGAGGCTCGTTCTGAGTCTCTGCTGCTGGGCTCCGCCCTGGCTCAAGGTGTGGGAAAGGCTAGATCGATCGGGGACTGATCCCCCTAAGCGTGGCCTTGACGGCAGGCTGGTGTCCTGGTATCGGCCGGCACGGAACCCTTCCTGCCAGCCTGCTTTGCTTTCAGCCATAACTTGGGCTTCCTTCTTGCCTCAAGGACAAAGGGGCTGGCCCTGCAGGGCAGTGAGGCCAAGCCGGGGTGGCCACTCGTTCCCCTGGGCTGCCCTGGCCCTGGCCCTGGGGGTCCCAGGAGGGCTCTTCTGGGTGCAGAGCCTTCCAGCCCCCTGGGCAGCCTTAGAGGAGGGCTTGGTGTCCAGCTGCCTGGAGTGGCTCACGCAGCGAGGTGGAGGCGGGTTGTCCTCCGAGCATAGGTACTGACAGGCCCTGACACCACGAGGCTGCACTCTGCTGCCTGCCGCGCACGCCTTACAGGTCCCACAGGAGTCCCCAAGACGGGGCCGCTGGGCCAGCCACGAGGGCCCTCAGGGCGGCCGCGCCGGGCAGCTGCGAACACTACGGTGAGCCTCTCTCCGGGTCAGTCCTCACACCACACTAGGCGCCCCTTGAAGCTGCTGTATCTTCTTATTTATTCAGGGTGTTTTCTTGTGGGAAAGCCGTGGCCAGTCTGCGCTGGCTCTGGCTCTCGTTTGAGACGGAGGCTGGTTTATTTCTGAATGTTCCAGGAGAAAAGGCAACTGGACCTCCTGTCGCGGGCTGGCTCTCCCACCCCTCCTGGAGGGCAGTGACCGCAGGGACAGGCCCGGGAAGGCCCCGCTCCGCACTGCTCTGAGTGCAGGCCACTCGGCGGGCACGGCGGCCACCCCGCTCCTGCCAGCTCTGCGTCGGCACTGCCCGCTGGGCCTGGGTCCCCCCAAGTGGCAGCGCCGGGCAGAGGACCTGCGCAGGCCACGGAGTTCGTGGCTCCTGTGTGGCGATGGACTGAACTGTAATAAAATGTTATTTAATCTTTGTCTCTGTATTTTGATACTTGAATGAGTCCCCTTTTGTTTTCTGTACATACAACTGTTAATCTGATCTTGTCTGGATTATAAACATCTGTGGTACCAAACATAACCAACCTGTGCAACGACGTAGACTGACCTCACTCCACACGACCGTGTGAACCGTCCGGGCTTCCAGTGTGGTTCTGTTATTTTCATAACTGTACAACTTAAACCCAATAAATGGAAGCGATAAGCCAGCCTCACTCGACCTCTCTGCGCGGCTCTCCCCTGTCTTCTGGGGACGTGTGGGCACTGGGTCCATGCTGCTGGGAGCAGGACAAGGTCCCGCAGGCCCCAGCATTTTGGCAGCACCACTGCGGAGGGCGGCAGGTTGGAGCGAACACGGTCCCCTGGTCCCCTCCCTGTGTGGGCACGGAGCAGGTCCGTCCCGCTATCCACACCCTGGCCCAGAGTCCCCCACACTGCAGACTGAAAGCTGCAGAGCCACACAGTCCGACTGGCCAGGCCGTGTGTCAGACATTCATCTGGGGTGGGGGAAGGAGGACACAATGGGACAAGTGTCCCCGAGAGCCCAAGGGGGAGGACACTGCGGTCACAGAGCTGCAGTCTAGGGGGAGAACGAGAGCCCGGCTGGCCCGGCAGCTTCTTCACTCGGTGGGCAGCGGCCACCCGGTTCCGGCTGCGCCCAGCCCCGGCTGGGGGCGGCCTGGTCCTTGCTGTGCGCAGGAGGCCACCAGGCTCTGAAGGCTGGGGCAGCACCTGAGGGCCCGGGCCCTGCTCCGGCCAGCCTCGCTATGGGCTGCCCCCATGTGCAGCGCCCCTCTGTGACTCTGGATGCTTCCATTCGCTGAAAAGTTCAGAACCTCACTGATCCGGCCCATGCCAGGTTTACTTCCGGGGAAAACAAGGCCCGGAAACAGCAGTTTGTCTCTGGCCGCCGACGGGCCGACGGCACCACTGCCGCTGCCGGGACCCCAGCAGGAGCTGCGTGCCTGGCCACCTGCGCACCCTTGCTGCCTGCTTCTCCCTCATGGGGCTGAGCGCTCAGCCAAGGGGGACTGCAGCGAGGCAGCCGGGAGGGGGAATTGCACAGCTGAGTTAGTTCCCAAGGCGCCAAAGCCACCCTCTACCTGGCCCGGGCTGCCCCGGGGCCAGTGCTGTTAGAGGCCCAGGGCCGGCAGGCCCCGAGGTTCCTCTTCCTCATGGGTTGGGGGACGACATGCAGGTCAAACAGGCTAACAGCACACCAGTGTCACCACAGATGTCCAGGGCGGGGAGTGGGAGTCCTGCTTGGTGCGGCCCGGGACTGCACTAGAATTGTGCTATTAGGAAACCATCAGAAAGCGGCTCCCAAACGAGAGGCTTGCTCGGCCCCAGCACAGTTACCTGCTGACCAGCTGAGCGGCGGGTGGGGGTGCAGGGAGACTCCTGCTCCCACTCACCAAAATAAACTGCAGACGGTGCACACCTTGAAATGTAAAAAGGAAAAAGTAACCTCGAAGCCAGGGGGAAAAATGGAGACTTTCATAACCTTGAGTAAGAAATGCCTTTCCTAACAGGTTACGAAACTCAATCCAGATTTTTAAAAGATTCAACTATATAAGATTCAACCATTACATTCAATTATATAAAAGTCAAACATTCCTGCTTTGCTACAGTTCTGTGAACTTCATGAGGAAGACAAGCTACAGACTGAAAGACTTACAAAACAATATCTAGAACACATCAAGAACTCTCAAAACTCAATAGTAAAAGAAACAATCCAGTTAAATTGGGGCAAAAGAACACGAACAAACATTTCACCGAAAAAGGGGAGGTGGGTGGCAGGTGAGCACACGCAATGCACGGAACGGCCTCAGCCATCAGGAGTTGGACATCAGAAGTACAAATGACCGACAGGCTCTCAGCCCGCTGGAGAGGACGCAGACACACTGGGTCACACATAGGTTACTACTGGAAATACAAACCCGTATGGTCAATCTGGAAAAAGTCTTTAAAAACTAAATCCGTAACTACTGTGTAACCTAGCAATTAGATTCCTAGAAATTTACCCCAGAGAAAAGGTGTGCACACGAAAATGTATGCAGGAACATTTACAGAACCTATGAACTTAATTTTTTCCAAGATTCTTGCTGCAACCAAATTGCAAGCATAAGTTCATGAGCCGAGGTACCACTGCATTCCCAACAAAACTTCAGTGACCATCACATAGGCCCAAGAGTACTGGTTGGCCTTTGCAAACACTAAAAAAAAAAAAAAAAAACAGGTATGGAAGTCACTAAGTAAACAGACGATCATAGTTCTCACCCTCACCTTGGTAATCTTCTGGCTTCCAGCACAACCCTTCACCTCCAGACTACACAAACAGGCCTTTTGTACTCTTCCATGCCTGACAGCGAAGGTGGCCACTGTAAGCCAATCTTGTACATTCTTATATGGATGTATATCTGGCATTAAATCTGTTTTTCTAGCAAGTACCGGCTGATACAGATTTTAGTGCCAGAGCAGTGGGGCTGCTGCTATGACATCAGCTGGCCATGAAGTGGAGGGGCCTGAAAACCTGCTTGTGAAGAGTCTGGGAAGGCTCTGGAGATACGGCTGATGCAGCAGCCCTGGAATGCTATAAGCTGAACTTGATGAGAAAGTCTGGCCAGAAGTCAGAAGACCAAAATGCTTACAGACACCAGTAAAGACCAAGCTCAGGTTTCTGCTGGGAAGGACTGCATTGTATGATGGACTCCAGACGGTGTATGTTACAGCTTGACAGAAAGTTTGTCTGCATTTTGCTGAAGTCCAGAGACTTTGCCTGAGACTGAGATTAAGGGCAGTGGACTAATTAATCTTGCAGAAGAAATTTCAAGCCAGTCTAAAGCTGAGGCCATGCTGTGGCTACGGTTGGGAGCTTTTACCAGAAAAATCAAGAGGAAAGAGCCCAGCAGAATGATTTAAATCTTTTTGAGTTTGGCCAGAAAGCAAGCTCCAGTAAAGGTTCATGAATTGCAAAGATAGAAGAGAACTTGACTACTGAGAAGGAACAAAACGATAGAAAAGATGACGCGGGGCCAGGGATTTAGCTCAGCAGCACAAGCACCTGCCTGGCAAGCACCAGGTCATGAGTTTGATCCCTTGTACCAAGGGGGGGTGGGGCGGGAGGACATCACAAGAACCAAAAGGACTCCAGCCTTTGTAGCCTTACAATTGCAAAGGTCAAAGAATTTGCTCTGAGAAGAGATCCCCAGAACACTATGTTCCAAAATGGTGGCAGCCTAAAACTTTGTTCCTTGTGATTGGGTTTATAGTCCTCAGCAATGCAAGCACTCAACACTTATAGTCTAGAGAGAAGGCAACTGGGCTACTGCTCCAGACTTGTATCATCCATGTGGCACTGGTTTTAGGTGCATGCAGAATGCAAGAGCTGTGGGTCGGGAAGGCTTTTGCCTGGATTTCAGAACAAGGCCTGGGAGGTTAGGCATTGTACTCCCGAGAGGGCAGTATATGAAGCTATGTGTGCAAAGCCAAAGTTGTAATGTAGAACTCAGTGTGTGGAGGAAGCCAGGAACGTGGACTGTCTGAAGCAAGCTGCAAGAAGGTAGCACAGCCAGCCCAAGAGAAAGACGTGGGAGCTACAACCACTCACAGTGCCATCTCAGCCCTTCATACCGTGCCACAGCTATCTGGAATGCTGGACATGCAACTACAGGATTCAATGTTTGCCCTGCTAGACTATGGACATGCTTTGACCCCATTCCTTTCTATCCGCCTATTTGAAATGAGAATGTTTATTTTATGCCACTTTATGTTGGAAATATTTAACTTTCTTTTCATTTGCATGGGGGCTGGCTCACAGCTAAGAGTTTGATTTAAATCTCAGAGGAGACTTTGGCCTTGGACTTTTCAGCAATGCTGAAACTGTTAGACTTTCGCAACTCTTAGAGGTGGACTAAATGCTTTTTGTACAAAGGGATGTGCATGAGTCTTCTGGGGACCAGAATCTTACCACTTGTGTCTAGATGTAGCCCCAAAACCTTATGCTCAAACTAAAGAGATGTCTTTCTATGGTCTGTTGGCCATTTCAGAACTTGGGCGTGAAGTGGTCAATTCATCAGAAAGAAACAGATGAAGCAACCCCTGCCCCATGAGCAGCTATGAACGTGGCAGGCTGTGGCAGCCCACGAAGGGAGCCACCGGTGTTTACGGAGACCCGCGCCATGCTGGGACCTGGAGCTCTGGGCAACCAGGCAACCCCTCCCCTCCTGCCTGTTTTGTTTTGTTGAACTTCAATATACGTGAAAGTATGGACAGCTATTTTGAAGAGAATGAGAGACTCTGTGACAGCCATTGGTGACTTCCCTATTGTCTGGTTTTGAGGACCTAAATCTTCATCATTCTGTTCAGATTAGTTTTATACCATGTTGTTCTATAAGAATTCTCTGTATGTGAAGACATGGACAACTATTTAGAAGAAAACAAGAGACAATATGACCAACAGTGAAGATCTCAGACCATCTAGCTTTGAAATTTATATCTCTTACATTGCTTTCTTATGTCCTGTTTTGTTCTGTTTGTGTTTAATTTTACCCCCTTTAAAATTAAAATTAAAAAAAAAGAACTCACTGAGAAAGAAATTAGGAGAACAGCACAATTTACAATAGCACCAAGAAAAAAATTAAATACACAGGAATTAACCTACTCAAAAAAGTGACAGTAAAATTAGATCACTCTGAAAAAGGAGATCAGAGATGACATCAGAAAGTACAAAGACAGCCCACATTCCTGGATAGACAAACCAATACAATAAAAATGGCCATATGTCCAAAACTGATACACATACTTAACATAATCCCAGTCAAAACATCGACAACTTTTCTCATCAATCCAGAGAAAACCAACCTAAAATTCACATGGAACTAGAGGAGACCCACAATAGCAAGCAAACATGGGCAACGAAGGCAAAGCAGGAGGGCCAGAGAGACAGCTCAGGGGCACACTGCCTGCCTGGCCAGCGTGAGGTCCTGAGTTTGATTCCACATACAAAACAACAACAAAAAACCCAAAGCAGAAGGCATCATAAGTTTAAGAGTTAGTAAAACAGGCACATGGGTCAATGGAACAGAATAAAGGAAGCAGAAGGGACCCTAGGCACTGACAGCTCCTGAACTTGGCCTTTGACACTGGGGCTGCAGACTTCACCAGAGGCAAGAGGGCCTCTTTAATAAACAGTGATGGAAAAACTGGC